ACCTGACGTGGATCGACATGGATGACTTCGTCGAGCTGGATTGGATCCTGCCAACCGAGCCAAACCCGGACACTAAGATTCTTCCGTTGGCCTTTGCGCCACGCATCACGTACTTTCGGCAAACGGACATCAGCGGCGTTATTGACGGTGATCCCGACAGGAGTAGTCCGTTTGGTCAGGAGCCAACGCACTTGTGCATCATGAGCCAGGACGACGACCCTAGGAGGGTCCAGAGTCAACTCATTCGCCGGCGGCTAGAGCAACTAGACCAACAGATGGAGACACACCACAGGAACCTCGGAGATCTCGAACTCCGCCTCGTCCGTACCGACCACAGCGACTCAGATCTCCGGACCGAATTCGACATACTCAACCGGCATACCGTTGTCCTAGCGGGTAAGAAAACGTTTTTGGAAGGGATGCTGAGGGGTATGTCGCAGAAGGCCGGCTCAGACAGCGACAGTGATGCGTCCTCAGATCTCACGGGCTCTGAATCCAGCACTCAGTCGGCTGTGAACATGGATGATACGCTTGCCGAGACCGAGGGGGAGTTTGCGAGCGACTTCAAGAACCGATTCGTTGTGCACAACATGCAGCTGAAGTGGAACAACACACTGCGAAACATCATACTCCGGTACATCCACCAGGTCAGCCAGCGCCGCGGTTTCGTCTACTACCTCTCACGCCCGGCCATCAAATTCATCCTCGACATTGTCGAAGAGCAAAACAAGTCCAAAACGGCGAAGAGCAGCACTGCCGCGCCAACCAGCGCCACGGCCAACACGCCAGACACCAACGGTGGTGATCGTGACATACAGAAGGACTTTGAAGACAAGCTCCGCAAGATATTAGGGGACGGAAGAAAGTTTTCTACCACGGGTCCCTGCGGAGAACCAATGGAGCAAACAAACCCGTCCATGGCGGACCTTTCGGGCGGTATCGCCGACGAATTTACGCCGCAGAACAGCTACCATGTCCGTTTGATTGCGCCACAGATTCAGCTCCAGAGCGACAAGAACAAGAAGCACGTGGTGCTCATCACGGCCAAGGGCATGGAGCTTAAGGTGGTGGAAGTGCTTGACAAGAGCCGGATCTCGGATAATGTCAGCGGTCTCGTGCAGCGGCGCTTCCTGGTCAACATGGACAGCACGCAGTTCTTTGTGACACACCAGAAGTGGTTCTCAACGCAGCTGGTGTCTATGTACTCGGGCAACACGTACGGTACCCCGGTTGGATCGTCGTGGCCGCCGTGGGTGCCAATGGAGGTCATGTTTGACTTTGAGGCTGATCCGTTCGGGTTCAAGCGCGTCGTCCAGAAGACGTCAGCCATGCTGCGGTATGATAAGTACAACACGTTGCGGCTGAAGTACAACGACGAGGTCAACACAAGCGATAACGCCAGCGTGGCGCTGCACGACAGCACCGAGAGCAGGATGGACAACCTATGGGTTGAATTCCCGCAAGCGCACGCGCTGTGCAACTCATCGCAGTACTATGCCATTTACGTTATTGTGGTGGACCTTCTCATGTACAACGAGCCGCTGGAGAAGACGCGCAACGAGCGACTCGAGAAAATCATGCTGGCGTCTGACTTTAGCGACCTGCGAGGCGCGCCAGAGATGGTGGGGCGGCTGCAAGAGCGGGTGCGGCAGCTTGAGGAGATTAAGACGCACTTCCAGACCAACTCCCGGCTGCTCGACAAAAAGGGCTGGGAGGACAGGCTGTCTGTGGAACGGGACCTGGCCGCGTGCGAGGACGACCTGTTCTTCATGATGAAGGCCATCACGACGTCGCAGAGAAAAGTTGAGAACACGGCAAGCAACGCGCTGCTCAAGTGGAGCATTACGGCTAAGGAAATCGTGTGGCACTTAATCCGAGACACCAACGAGCCGCTCGTAGAGCTCCAGCTCAAGAACGTCGAGTACGACCGGACCGACAACGCAGACGGGTCGCACATCAACCTGATCCAGGTCGGGAGCATCCTGGGCCTCAACCTGCTGCCCGACGCCATCTACCCGGCCATGGTGGCGCCCTATGTCGACGGCGAGGCGGGCGGCTTTGATGGGTCCAAGCCCATGATCCGCGTCTATTGGAACATGCTCGAGGCCATTGCCGGAATCCCCGTCATGGACCACTTTGAGGTCAACCTGTTCCCGCTGAAGATCCAACTGGAGCGCGAAGTGGGCAAGAAGTTGTTTGAGTACATCTTCCCGGGCACTGAGGGCGGCAAGCTATCGACGGGCAAGAATGACTCGCCGTTCATGATCAAGCAGTCGCCGCCCGAAGGCGAGGAGGACGAGGGCGACAACGAGTCGCTCAGCGAATCCATCCGGCTGGGAACGGCCGACAAGGACAAGGACAAGGACCAGATGTCGTTTAGCACGCGACCCGGGTCACTCGAGCTGCGTCTGCGGCCCACGCTGACGTCGGAGCCGGATTCCAGCCCCAGCAAGCAAAATGCGGTTAGCATCCACTCGGGCGAGGGCACGTCGTTCCGCCTCTTCCGCTCGGCCGGCACCGGCAAGTTCCCCAGCAAGAAGCGATCGTATGAGTCCCTCCGCAGCGGGGCCCCGCGCCCCGGCATCCCGCGCACATCGACGGGTCTCTCGTCCAAGGACGGGCTGTCGGCTGCCAGCAACAGCGAGGCGCGGCGGGGCTCCCGGTTCGGGCTACGACACCGGTCGGCAAACGAGGAGGAAAAGACCAAAAAGTCGGACGACCTCACCAAGATGATTGACCGTGCGTCCAGCTTCATGACGTTTGCCTACATCAAGATGCCGTCGGTCGTGCTGTGCCTCAGCTACAAGGGCAAGGGCGACCGCAACATCGAGGACGTGCACGATTTTGTCTTCCGGCTGCCAACGATCGAGTACCGCAACAAGACGTGGTCTAACCTTGACCTGGCCCTCGCGCTCAAGGGCCGTGTTATCAAGGCCCTCATCTCGCACACGGGCGCCATCATTGGCAACAAGTTCTCCAAGCACCGGCCGTCGACGGCGCAGCAGTCCAAGCTTCGCGAGCTGGCCACCTCGTCGGTCCTCCTCGCCACCCCGGCCCTGTCGGCCGACTCAAGAGACAACTCGGGCGACGACTCGTCCTCGCTGTACGGCACATCGCCCGTCGACTTTTCGCGCTCACCACCCCGGTCGATCCGTCGGTCGCAGACTTCAATCCCTGCCCCGTCGGCGAGTAGATCTCCGAGCATCGCTTCGTCCAGATCCCATCGCTCTGGCAACATTGCTGCCGGCGGCGCCGTGACGGTCAACACACAGGCAGCAGGCGCGATACCTGCTTTCCTAACCATGACGCCGCCAACGCCTCAGGAACGGACACCAACCGGGTCAACAGAAGGCGGCCACCGAAGCGCCTTCTCGGGGCTGTTGAGGCCCACCTCGAGTGGAGGATCCAGATTATTTGGGGGACACTATACCCCCAGTATTTCACGGCCGGCAACCAGCTACAGCCAAACTGTTGGGTTCGGCGAGGACCTGGACAGGAGGAAGAGCGCCGGCGGGGGAGGCGGAGGAGGCTTCTTCAAAGACAAGATCAGTGCCTTTACACATCGGCTGAAGGACAGAGAGAGCACCATCGTTGCGAGGGATCAAAACGGCGGGAATGGACGGGTGAGCCTTGAGCGGCGGGAGAGCATCGAGGAGGAAAGGGAGGAAGAGGAGAAGGCAGAGAAGACGGGACTGGTTAGACGATTGAGTCGGAGGGGCTGAGCAAGGAACTACACATAATGTACAAGGCAACTTTCGTTTTACCTTTCTTTTCTTCGTTGAGTTGGGTTCATTAATTTTGGGGGGCTTCTTCTTTTTTTCCTTGCGTTAGATGGCGGCAGCTATTGCATGGGCGGGAACATTGAGCGAGGTAGCATGTTGAGCGGGGTGTTGGCTGGGTATTTAGATATCAATGGATTGGTATATGCCATTCATGTTCTGGGTGTGAGTCGACTTTCGGTCCATCCTCCTCCCTCGAGGCCCTGATGCTACATTGTTGTCCCTGTCTCAGAGACGCAGATGCTACCCAATTTTTTTGAGATGAACACCCTCGACCTGTGGCTTCGGCTCTCCTGCTCTTTCAGGGCCGCGACGTTGGATAAACCCAGATAAATACACACATTCGATCCATTTCGACATTTTGTAACCCCATCTTGGCTTGGGTTCGAACTCGACACCAACCCCGCAGAATTACAACTGAACCTAGTCTGCATCCAGATCTAATTTAGTCCCAGTTCACATTTCAACAATGCTGAACCCAAGGCTCAAAAGGAGTTCTGAGCCGGGTAGAACGTAGAACCGATCCAGGTTCTAAACGTACCTCAACCAGACTTGAGCCCAGTATAAATAAACCCATCTATCAACCTGTTTTTAAACGGGCGTTTTAACCCAGATAATATCTCTCACCTTTATATCACCTGGACGTCATGGTATGGTGTCCCAACCTAAATCCAAACTCGAATCTAAAGGGGGATTATAAAACCCAGCCGCTAACTTTTATAGGAAAAATCTTTCTGACAAGCTCATCAGGCTTTTTCGGCTTGACCGGAGGATCTTATCGGCAAGAGAGACAAGAACATGAACTGAATTCACGCCAAATCCCTCCATTTTCCCCATTACTTCTCGCTCACGGTAGCTTACCCTTAATATGCATAACATACAGCTTGTTGTGTTACACAAGGTTCAGACAGGGTAAAAAGAAGCAGAGCCACATTTGCGTGTTATGTTGCTAGCCCGCCCCATTGTCATACAATGTCCCGCCGAGTTACGAGACGCCGTCCAGTTTAGAAACATAAATTCTTCGGGTATAGATGTATAATAATACCCGGGGTTTCAAGAAGGTCGGTCTGAGATCAACGCACTACGTAACACAACCGGCCGCAAACAAACCGACACCACCACTGTTTACATATCGTCTCCAGATGTAGACCCAGTACCAAAAAGCCAAAAACTTAAGACAATATCTCGTCAAGATGTGGCGAGAAGAACCAAAAAAGGGACTGACGAGAGTGGGATTCGAACCCACGCCCTTTCGGACCACGGATCTGAGTATTCAGAGGGGGATTAAGGGATGATTCCTTAACGTGGCGCCATAGACCGCTCGGCCATCTCGCCTGTTCGATGGAGGTTTGTGGGGATATTTGACTTTTTGTGAGTGTGCGAACATTGAAGTGTGGGAATAGCGAGGATTGGGGGAGGAGGGAGGGAGGGAGGGAGGACCCTGCTGCAGTGTGGATTCGTCTTGAGTCGGGACCTGTGGGTGGGCCACAGAATAGGGGCGGGATAAAGTGTAAATTATACTCACGTGAATAGGTTGGTCATGTTGGCACCCTCCGTAAACGCAAAGACTGACATTCAACCAAGACACCGCTGATAGGACGGGAACTCATATCAGATCTGACGTCCGTCCCTCTTGAACCGCTTATGCCTTGTAGTCGTTGGCGTTGAAACCGACACAAACTTATGCCCAGCGTTGGAATTAACGCTCATTTACATTTCAGGGCACCATGCACAAGCAGAAGTCATCCCACCAAAACCAGCCGCTCAAGTAACTAGTCGACAGAATTATAAACCTGCGTTCGTTATTCGTCTCTAGCTTCTGCCCAATCCTCCGAAGGACGTGCCACTGCTCTAGCAATACCAACACTGGCAAGGTCCCCGAATGGCGAGTGTCTCTTGGTACCATTCGATGAAGCACTGGTGTTCTGCGTGTGACATACACAGACGATGACAGTCCGGGCTACCAAGCCCGTATACAAGCTGTCGATGGCCAAGGACCAACATAGCAGCAACTCTCTTAGGTACCGCTCAATCGCCTTCCCTTTATCAGGAAGCCCACCTGTGTTGTGGCAACGGCATGTCTCCGAACCCGGAGGATTGAGCACATAAGCCATTGGCGAATAATGAACCACAGCCTTGGTATCCTGTTACCCTCATGAGAGGTTGCCTTTGTGGCGTGGCTTCTACCTGGCACGCCGCGACCCTGTAACACTTGGTACAGTTCAAGCCGCCCTGCCTCAAGAAGCCCACAGTAGATGTAGGCCACGAGAGCACACCAAAGAGGCGACGTCAACCATTCATCAACTCACAGTGAAGATAGACTGCAAAGCACTAAGAAACCACATACGGATTACCCCAAGGCACATGTATCCCCAACACCACTTACTCCTCGGTATCAATCATCCAACACCTCGCCTCATCCGGGCCATCCCCTCACTCAAACATACGAATACGACCCAAACCAAACCATCTCGGCATCATTCCTTTCATCACTTCAAAAAAAAAAAAAATCCAAGCTAGTCACCGTTTCCGTTTCGTGCTTTTGCCAAACATCCCCCCTTAGCCAAAAAAGCACACTCCCCTTCTCCCTTCCCCAATACGCCCCATCACGTGTCGAAGCAAACAACCGACATTCACATGCCACATTCATACTGTACCAAAAACCCCTCACAAAACCACACACGATATTATCCCTTGGCCGTAATTGACCGCCGGCATAACTCGCCGTGCAAAGGGAGGGAAACTCCCAAACTCGGTTCCCCGCATCGGCCCGTCTCGCAAACTGCCGACATCTCACCCCCCACTCCCCTCCCTCGGCATCACATCAGATGCTCAGCGTGAGAAACGCGCTTCCTACGTAGCAGACCTCCCATCGCCCGCCAGCTCAGCTTCGCCACAAGCGAACAAGCAAACAATCTCATCATCACGCGACTGACTGACCGAAACGCAAACCGCCTCCATCAACGCCACTTGCTCCACGCCAAGCTCCCCAAACCGCCGCGCCCCTCAGCTGTCCTCACCAAAAGAAGGTGATCAAGTGCCATCAAACGGACAGAGTCGGGAAAAAAAAGCAAACAAACCCGCCACACACCAATGAACTCTTTCGCCCCACCCAAACTGTCGGATTCTCCCAGCTGACTCCAATGACTCGTCAAAAAAAAGAAAACCACACACCCAGAGAGAGAAAGAGAGGCAAACGGAAACGCGCCTTGTCGCATTGGAACGCACACCTCCAACACAAGTTTGGGCCAAGAGGGTGCAGTCCCGTTCTCCCGGGACAGCGCTAGCCCCCCATCAGACTTTGCTTTTTCTTCTTCCCCTCACTTGAAGAAGAAGAAGAAGAAGAAGAAGAAGGGCTGGGCGGGATGCACAGTAGTGTATCCTCGGCGAAACCCGTGAACCTCGACTGCAAACATGGCCACTTGCCACTAGTGTAGACTGATGAGAGAATAAGAAACCCCGAGTACGTGCTGTAAGTCGGTGAACAAGTCCGGGAATCCCCTCGCATGCTTGTGCTGTGTAGGGAGTCGTAACCACATGCGATCATGGAAGCAGCTCTCAAGGGCCGAATGACATTCCCCATGATCTTGCACGTGCTATGTGCCTCGGGGACCTGTATGGATGAGCACCCATCCTTCCAGCAGGAGTTAGGGGATGCAGGCAGGCACTGTAGGCTGTCTGCGCATTGCCCACGGTGCAGTAGCGTGTGCAGTGTGCTGTCGCACAGAACGGCACTGCCATGTTCCGAGGAGTAAGTAGCTCCACCCAGACACCAGGGCGGGGACCGAACTTGTGAGTTGTCAACGGCCAGAGTGAAAAAAAAAAAAATTGAACAAACCTGCTGGTTGTTTCACCGGTGCAAGCACTTTGCATCTCGATCAAGAGCTCAGACAACCGTTACCGTAACGGGCCTCTCTCATTTCTTTTTCCTTCCGCCAAACCGAGAAAAAAATGCCAAGAGACGGCACACAACGACAGACCCGACACGGACGCCGGCGGGCCAGCCAGTCGCCGGAAAACACGCAAAACGAGGCTTTTCTGGCGAACCATGGTTGAACCTCCTGGTGCAATCCCGTAATCATGACGGTATCAAAAAGTCCCAGGGATCCAGCTTGTAATCCGTCAGTCAGGCCGCTGGTTACACAACGAAGCACTGTCTGTCGTGTCGTGCACGGGGAAATTTTGACAGCCAACGCGTCTCAAAAACGCGAACCACGCCAATGCGGACCGCGCCGCTATCGACGCAATCTCAAATTGTTTGGACTCAAGACCCAATCTGGAGTCGACGCGACCAAATGGGCCTGTCCGGGTTCGCCAAACAGTGGAAACGACTCCCCTTCTGTTCGAGCTGCTTTTCTGTGCCTGGCGAGAGTGAGGCAACTCTTGACGGGCTCGGGAGCTGAGCCATACGCTTACACGGTATGTGAGCCCGCTTGCAGTCAAGAAAAAAGCAATTCTTGACGGGGGTTCAAACGTAATCCGTAGTTGTCGTCATGTAGGTAAGAGTTGATAGAGCCGTCCATTGGTAGGGTAACACAACCCAACCCGACCACTCACTTCCAAGCGTCAACCAAACGCCGACAAGTACGGGAGAAACAAGAGATCGACGGTCTCGTCGTTCGTGGGTGACAACCGACCTCATTCGCTGCATCCGTCTGCTTTACCGCCTCTGACCTGGGACGTGCTGAGGAGGAAGAACCGGCGAGGCTGACATTCTCAAGATCGCTCCGTACTCGACGCAGTTAGATGGTGTCCTTGACCTGCACCTTGGCCTCTTTTGCCGTCTCGAGGCAAGAATAGTTCGTGCCCGGCCAGCAGATCCGTCGCCTTCTCGAACCCGTCCGGCACCTTCGAGCCATACTGCTTTGGGCTAAGCCCAACATCTCGCGATCAGTCTATCATTTGTGATAGGGCGATGATGTAGTATCAGAGGGACCGAACGCGCAGCACTTCCGCAGCTCTCTGCCGTGAGCACGGGCGAGGGCACGGTCTTCCGCTGGCCGTACGAACCACTCAACGGCCACCCTTGTTTTTCTGATTTTCTGTCCTTCACAGCCACTCAGACAAGGGTATTTTTCAACGAGTCCGTCCTTTTCCCCGCGTTCTCGTGTCCTGAGTGGTCCGCCGACACTCCAAAAATGCGGAATAACTCAGGGACGTCCAGCCGTTGTTCGCCGGGCCTTTTTTTTTTTTTTTTTTTTTTTGGGGGGGGGGGGGGGGGGGGGGGGGGGGGGGGGTTGGGGGGGGGGAAAAGGCC